GAGCACGAATCACTGTAGCGAGACTACAGCCCTGGATATTACCATAAATGAGACTAGATACGGAAGCGATTAGATACATGTAGTATCCAAATGACGGGCTACCGACTAGTAGCTAGCCAGACACTCCCAAATACCGGGTTTAGAAAACATCGCCCTAATCGGCATCTCGACCTGGTACTTTCCGTCTGCTGTACTTCTGATCTTTGCGTAACCCTCCTCAGCTATGACCTCACCCTTGTCAAAGTTAGAGTCAGAATCAGACCCCGCCTCATCGTCGCCGTCGACAAATGGAATGTCACTGCTCCCAAACATGCTTCTGGCCAGGGCCTTGAGCGGCGCATCCTCTTCTACCTTATTGGCGTCTTTCCCGTGGTACTTCAGTCCCAATTGTCTGTCGACTATTTCCGTGCCTCTGAGCGAGGAGACTGAGCCGTAATGCTCAAGGAAGAAGTTCCGTCGGCGACAGCGTCCACAGCGTTTTTCGATGTGATTTTTCTCTTTTAAGCACTCCGCGCGGAGGCCTACCAACAGTAGGTCCATTTCGCGGTCGCGATATACGTCGTTCAAGGAATGGTGATGATGAATTTTCGACAGCACGGCACTTTTATGCATATCTTCAGATTCCCAATTCTCGTAAAAGCCGAACAGCTGACAAGTGTTGCTAGCGATTAGCTGCCAAGCTACCGTCAAGTGATTGCGAGAAAATTGCTGTGCCAGACACTCGTCGCCGACCCAGACCTTGCGGCCTTTGTGCGGCTCGTTGTATTCGTGTTTCGAAGGTTTGCGAATGGCTTCCTGGATGCAGGCCCATACTTTTCGAAGCTGTGGTGCGAACTCTGGGTCATCTAAATCAATTTTGCCACGCCTGTCTTCATATTCCGCGGCCAGCTTGAGGACATGCAAGCCTATGCCTGGATGCGGGTCGTACATGAGCGGCTCAAGGATAGGGTCTCCGGCCAGTTCCAATAGAATATCTTTCCAGATATCTCCGCAGATCATGTACATCGAAATCCAGTCGAAGTACACATTCTGCATCTCGCCTTCTATGAAGAGAGACAAGTCGCGAAGCAGCACAGGAGAGCCCTCTGCCGGAACATCCTCGAACAGTCGAACAATTCGGCGAGTGTCAATCTCACTTTCAACCCAATCCGGTGATGCGCCCAACTGGCGTGCTAGTTTCCTTTGTTCGGCTTTGTCGCACAGCAAGGCATTGAGGTTACCGGCAAGCTCGTCCACGGACTCGTTGGTGTGGTCGCTCCATCCGGTCATCCGATCCTCCAGAACCGGACTTAATATGCTCGTCTTCTGGAACATACGGTTTGTGTTTTTCGCCTCGGATTTTCCACGGCCGTTCGCGCGCGGCAGTTTGTTGCCATAAGCAAGGTTGAGTTTGCGATATGCCTCGTCAAGGGACTTGGGTTTCCCGCCGTAGAAGACGTGATTTGGATCTTGGGAGTAGAGGACGTATTCCATGTCAGGCCAAGCAGGATCGTCCGGATAAAGCAGTTTTCCCTAAAAGTTCTCGTTAGCATTTTCCTTTATTCCATGCTACTATGTGTATCGTTGGAAATTCCAGACCATTTGAATGAAGACAGTTATGGCTTTCTGAATTGTAGGCTCCCATTAACCTTGAAAAGAACCCTAGAACTCGAAGAAAACGATCCGACAAGACTAGCTTACGTACCGCAGTGTATATATGACCCAGGACGCACACAAGGCCACTGAGCTTCTCGGTGTAGAACCCGCAATCATGTAGTTGGAGGTAGAAATCGTACTTGATCAAACCGCAACGTATGGGGTTGTACTTGACGGCAGGAATGTCGGCGTGCTCCACAAGCTGGTGATACACTTGCAGGGTATCATTACACACCTCGCGTTGAAGCCCACATGGAGTGCCGGGTCCATACCACGTCTTGAATGGGGCCTTCCAATCATAGAACTTCCACCATAATTCCATCTCATCACGATGACACACTCGAATGTTATTGAACGGGACATTGTTGCCCTCGCCCTCGCCCATTCGATAGTCCATGATGTCCTGGATGTCGAGAAGGGTCTGGATGCCAAACGTCACCCAGATAGGGATGACTTTATCTGTGAACATCAATTTCATACCGCGAGTGACCTGGACAATACATAAAGTCAGTGTGTGACTCATGCAGTTCCTACTGAAAGCCTCTTACTTCATCCTGTGCCCAGAACCGATTCTGGTTTGAGGAGTATACTCGGAACTCTTTGGCAAGTTTGAACGTCCGCATGATGTCCGTGACCGAATCCGCACCAATCGCTTGAAGCTCCTTTTCGTTAGCGTCAAGATACGGGAATTTCTTGACACGGTTCACACAGAATCGCAGACCTGTGTAGACGGGCCAGAAACACCAGTTAGCGTGAAGTTTATCGTAGTCGTCCTTGTTTGCCTTGACGGTAACATCCGAGGGGACCACTAAGTTCTGAATACTGACACCATCTGGCAACGGTCGGTAATGGTGATACAGGAGCGCAGGGAGGCACCATACAGGAAACTTTGATGCTGGGTATTTCGAGGGACGCTTAAGAAGAAGGTCGAGTTCGCCCTCAGCCCGTCTGACAAGATCTATCGCGGTATTGCTGAGGAGACCCGACAGAATGTAGTCCCGAGTAAAGTCCGTTGATTTGAACCAGGAATCTTGTACTACCTCTTGGATTTCATGGATCCCTTTGAGAAACAGGTGTATTGCGAAAAAGAACTCCTCTTCGGCGTCTTCGTCACTCTGCTCGATCTCCGCTGCGACGACCGGCGGTAACTTGGGTTCTGGTTTCACATTCTCTGTTGACAAGGTGTCGGCAGCCTCTTCAACTGGCAGCTTCGTAAATCGATTATGGACACCATCGCTCTTCTCTGGCTTGGTGACTTTGGCGACAGGAGCTAAAGGGCGCAAGATTTCCTGAACTCGTGACAGTATGTTGATGAAGTGATGATGTCCTTCGTCTGCAAGTTGATTTGATCCGTAATAAGCTTGTGCCTCTTTTCTAGCTTTGATAGCTCTGCCAAACACTGTCAGCAGTGGAGATGGTACTTTGACTTTCTTGACTTGTTTTGCGATAGCCTCGGCGATAGGTACGAAGTCGACGGTCCGGATGTGATATTCAGAGGGCTGCTTTTTGGCAGCCTCTTTGGCCTTCTTCCTGTCTTTGCCTTTCAGGCGTTGAGACTCTGACGGCGCAGACGCCTGTATACTACTGAGACTGAAACCGATCTTTTTTGAGGCTTCCACTAGCCAACCGGCAATGTATGCTTTTGTCGTGTGAGCTGCTTTACCCTGGTGGCTTTAGGCATGGTAAAAGACGCACCTGTATCCTTCTTGTATTGGCGATAGGTCGCCGAGAGAAACCCATGATCAAGAGTCGTCGACATCTTGCAGAGATGAGAGAGCGAAGAGCGCGGGTGGATAAAGAGTCGTGGAACATCAATGGTTGAAGCTGCTGTTTCGAATGAGCGGAGTAGCGGGACTTCGGATGGACCTAGCGTCAAGTGGAGCTCCCGGCATGCTAATTCGCTCGATCAGTGGATACCAAGGATCCTTCCTGTTTTGGAGCCGGCAATTAGATCAGACGTGCGCGTAGTGGTAGGTGGTTTATTAAATCGGTGATGCTTCTTATTCGAGAGGATTCAATTGCATGAGCGTGGTATGGGTGCCGGAAACTGCAAATCGTTTCGGCGAAAGGCCGTCGCAGTACCACGAGATGGGCAGGGCCATTGGAGACGAGCCCCCAACTACCTAGACCATGAAAGCCTTCGGGTTTTTCAGAGACAGCAAATGCAACCAGGGCCGAGTGAGCCAAGAGCTGGACTTAGTACGGAGTAGACAGAATACTGGAGATGCACTGAACAGAGAACATTGACGGCCGGCGCCGTTAGCGTGTCCGTGGGGGTGCGGGGTTAGGCGAATCTCGGGCATGCAAGGCAACCTTGGAATGCAGTGAGTAGATGATTGCTACCTTCCTCCAAACACTATGCTCATACGACCCAAATGGATGTGCACATAAAATTATGGAGGTACTCGGACCTGCGTGATGGCCTCGGTGGAGGTTTTCGTGCCGCGACTTGCCGCAGCTAATTAAAAAAAAAGGCGGTACCTAGGTAGGCACAGGTTACTCTAGGAACTTCTCATTCGCCTTCGACGGAGATCTTTTGACAGGTAGACACATCCCCGAATGCTGTATGCATTGCCTGGTCTGCTCTTCTAGTGGGCGAGCTGCTCGCATCGTTCCGAGGTCTTTATCTACTAGGCAGCGTGGTGTACAACCTTCCCAGGTGTACTTTTGCTATGTGAGTCTGATCCATCAAGCACTACACACTATGTTAGTGTTTCAAAGCTGACTTCTAGGCTTTCAGAGATCCGTCACATGTGTCGTATTCACGGAGTAGAATCGGATCGTGTCCAAAGAGCGGCAGCTGAGCACTCAGCCTCCGCATCTTCCCCACATCTCACTAGAGTCTTACCTCACCCGACAAGCGACTTCTACAGCTATACTTTACGTCATCCATTGGGCAAATCACGGAAAAGTCAAAAGTAAGAGCTTTAAAACCAAAATAGAGACGGCTCTTCGGCATTTCGACACATCATCAAGGGGCTGACAGCTGAGCGGTGGTGGCTGATGTATGCTTAGCTCCGTCGCACACGAGCTGCATCAAACCAAAAGCTGCACGCGTATTACACATCTTGGACTTTGGTGTCGATGTGCTGCTATGTGTGGTAACATCGGTTGGTTGTGTAGACGGTCGCCTGACCGCACCTTTCGCGGTTTTCGTCTCGGCGAACAGGATGCCTCCACCAAACCGAGATCTTACGAGAGAACTATCGAATCGAGCCCTTGAATTACTCAAAAGCCAACATGAGCTGAGCGCAGTACCATCTCACGAACGTAAGATCTTTTAAAAGCCCCTCTTACGATGCTACGGGGAGGCACTGCTAAGGCGGAACATCGTAAGCATCACGAGCTACAACTTCAGGCTACAGATGTGCGAAGTATAAGAAGAGGGGCCGTTATCACTAGAAACAGAAGCATCTCATCGCACAACCAGAAACAAACACCAATTCTGTCCAAGCTTCTACTCCCAATTTCACCTTCACCATCTTTCCGAGCATTCATTACAACAACCTCCACCAGATTACCAAACAACTCTCATCATGAAGGCCTCAATCATTCTCGCATCTGCTGCTACTCTCTTCGCCTCTGCTCTCGCAGCTCCATCCATCGCCCGCAACGCACCTCTCACCTTCACCGTTCAGCTCGCCAACGAACAGAGCGGCAGGAACGCCAACCGCGATGTCATCGTTGGCAACGGCGCTATAACGCTCGGTCAGCTCTTCGGCGATGCTCTCGGCTCCCAGGTCCTGGCCACTTCGCTCCAGGCTGTCACCCCTGGTGCAGGCGGAAACAACGTCAAGTGCGAGGTCAAGAACCCCAACTATCCTGGACAGACCTTTGCGCTCAACGCATGGAACACTTTTATCGACCTCGACGGGAACTCTAACGCTGCTATTCCAACCGACGTTACATCGTTCACCATCGAGTGCAAGGTATAAACGTCCTCTCGTATACCGCTTAGCAGTATGCCGGGCGCCGTTTCTTGGGGCGCATGAAGCGAGGTGGTCCGTGATAACGTTCCTTTCTTTGTGTGATGTATTTTGAAAGCGGCTTGGGTATATTATCTTGATGTTCAACAGTGGTGTATACATCCCTCCGTCCGTGTTATGGGAAGTAGTACAGCTTCAATAGCTAATATCACTCATTTGTGGACGCGCAATGTGGCTCACGATGATGCACCTTCAAGACAGCGTGTTGCATTCATACTCATGATCGAATATGCTTAAGACAGGGAAGTAAGTGACACAAGACACAAAAGTTGAGCAAACACACAAAGTATCATTCAGCCCGTCGTACTTCACTATCACAACGCTATGCCAAAAAGACCAGAGTCCAAGAACGCCTCCCATGCTCTAAGCACATTTTGCCTCACCTACTTGGGCCACGCCCTCTCCCTCTGCCCCGTCCTCCTCTAGCAGCCTTGTAAGGCCTCGGCACTGGTGATCCATCCCTTATCCTCTTCTCACCGATACGTGACGAGTATCTTTCCTCTCTCTTCATGTTTTCGCAAGCTTCTTCCTCTTCACGGGTCCCCGTAGAATGGTTGTGGACCTCACACCACTGCTGCCGTACTGCCCCATCGCCTCCCGTAGTAAATGGATCGCGAACGTAGCAAATTCCGAAGAGAAGTTTGGCGACTGCGCGGACCCTTGACTTGACACTTGGGTGCGTGTTCATGAACATGTCCCAACTGCCATAGTGCTGCGTTCCCCAGAGGAAACTGTATAGTATCACTATCCAGCGACAAAGTGGGGCATGCGTTGGGAGGTACTCAAAAGCGCGGACGACGTTTTCTATGCTAGGCAGCTCTCCGGTCTCGTGGTAGTTCGTGTTCTGGAAGCGAAGCAAAACAGTATAAGCCGAGTGGTACTCCTTACGCAGATACGTGACTATGTAAAGAGTGAAGAGGTTCTGGTAGTATTGGTCGAGAGTCAAGCGGTGTTTGCCAAACGGCTCGACCCTGCCGTGTTTATCCAAGAGGCTGTACATCGCAAAGATGACGGATTTGACCTTGGGGTTACTGTAATCTTGAAAGAGATTGATCTGCTCAGCGAATTCCATCATATCCAGGCCAGGATCCCCGCTTATTGGAGTGTGACCGCTGTTTTCTTCATCGTTGAACCGCCTTCCATTAGCCGCCGTCATTCTCGATACTAGCGATCCTGGTGTGGCGTTCATCAATGGTGGCGTATCTACCGTTTCACCTCGGTGATGGATGTTCCGTGTATCGAGCCTGAGTGCCGCTGGTCCTGTTGGTGTGCTCGGAGGGGGTTTTACGGCGCCGGGAAGGTCGCAATGTTGGTGCCTGAGCCGGCAGTTTTGGCAAGTGTGACCGAAATCTATGTGGGCTAGGTTCCCAAGCTGCGGCAAGTAGACTCTGCACTGATGGCCATATTCCGCACACTGACTGCATCCTCCACCGTCAGCCGCCTTGCCATGGTAATGTTGAATCGCTCGCGCATGAGCGATTTCAAACTTCCGCGCATAAGTCAGACGATCCCAATCGCCTACTGGATAGTGATAACCGAATTCATCATCGGAGGGCGGATCCAAGACGTATGCGGCGAAGTCTTCGATGTGCTTGACCGGGTCTGGTCTAGATGGCGTTGCGGCGTCGCTATCCGTCATTCGCCTTGCGCGCTTTCTGGATATGTTTGGGCCGGACTTCGATTCCATCAGCGCCCACGGGTATATCTTTCGGAGACTGCTTTCCAGCTCAGGATTCTCGCTAACTTCAGTCTCTTCAACCTCGATGATCATTTGCTTGACTCCTCTGGGCTTCTCTGTCGCATGAGCCGCACGAGCTCTGTCCTCTTCGGCCTTCGTTTTAGGTGTTACTATGGTGACGCCGGGGTAGTCGTCTTGTAACCGTTGGCGCAACTCTGTTGTCAGATCTTCTTCGTTTACAGTGAAGCTGACGTCTTTGACACACGGCGGGATGCTGGACTTCCTGAATGTCTCCCATGACGAAGTCTGGAGTCCATTATCCGGCTCAGGGAGGTCAGCAGCAGTATCCTGCGTCTGTGAGCCCAGAACAGAGTCGCGGTCATCGATGTGAACACCTTCGTCAACTTCGGCCAAGTCTTTCTTGCGCTGATCAGGCTCCTTTGCCAACTCCTTCAAAAACGCGGCCGAAGCGGCAACAAAGTCCAACACCATATTCTCCGGGCTGACGTCACAGCTTCCCAGCGAATCTCCATTCTCGTCTTTAAGCTGAAGTTCCAGCTTTTGATATCTGAACATGTTAGTTCTGGGGTAGGAAATGTGATGGGTATACCCACAATCTTGGCTGCTCGCTAGGCGCATTGCTATGCTCGACAGCGCGAATGGCGCGTAGGATTTCGCACTCTTTCGCCGTCAAAGCGAACTGATAGGTTGGCTCATTCACGGCCATGCTGAATGACAGCGGGCCCTAAGGTGGGGTTGATGTTGATCCCTGGATGTTGCTTGTCTTAGACTTTGTTGCGCCTAGACGTTGCTTGTTTTAGATTCAGTTGAGTCCTTGATGGACCGCGAAAAATCGTTCTCGCACAACCGAGACCCAACGTGGGGTACGGAGCACCACAATCTGGTCTGCACGAGACACTGAGATTGCCAGTGTAAAACAATGTCTTGTACAGACTGTCAAACCGTCGGATGTTCCTCGGGCGGTAGAGACGAGCACGTATCGGCAAGTCGCGTCTCTAGATGCCCGTGGTTGCTTCTGCTGGCTTCCCGCGTCAATCAGGAAGTTTCCGGGACAGTCGGTCGTTGACGGAAAAATAATGCTGCATCAGACAGGCGCAAGCTGATGGAGATCTAGCGATAGCATCAGCAGATGCAATGAAGGGGCAAAAGGTTGGGTGAGCTGATGGCCAAAGAGTTGGAACGCGTCTTCGAGAGGAGTTCGCGAACCTTCCAAGGTTTAGCGCGTCCTAATCTTGGTTAAACCGATTATGCACCGGCCCCACCACCGTCCCGCAGTGGCCCCCTTGTGTCGCCAACAGACTCGACACCAACATCTCATCGGCCGTGTATGCTGTCATTATATGAGCGCGCAAAGATACATTTGAGCTGTCTGGCATCAGGCTTCGATGCATAGTCACAGTGGCTATGCCGCGCCGAGCATCCACTTCGACATTCGCGCGGGATCGGGGTAACAGCATTCAGCCGCCTCGCAAATTAAGGTAAGCGCGTCTTGATGAAGCAGTTTGCGATGAAAACATTGACAAAGAAGTGATGATATGTACAGGTATATCCAAAAATAACTTATTTACAAGAAAGTATGATCCGCACAGCGCCTTTCCATCTGTTCACCAATCCAGCTTCAATTGCTTGGACAAAGCCGGACGCTGCCCGAAAAAGCGAATCAGCTTAGCCAGAGCATGTGCCAGCCTTCTTGGGCTCGCAGCCACCAGCACAACCAGTGTACATCTGGCACTTGGTCTTCGCATCAGAGCAGACGTTCTTGAGGGTAGCAGTGTCCCCGTAGTTGCTGTTGATACCAGCCAGCTCACCACCGTTGACCGCGGTCACGCCCTCGATGTAGACGTTGCGCTTGCATTGCTTGGAGCACTAGGATCGTGTAAGCGAATGTTCAGGAACCTGATCTCGATGATCGGAATCACTTACGTTTCCGCAAGAGCGGTAGAGCTTGCCGTAATCGTTGACATAGAAGTTGACGATGTTCACAGTTCCACATCCATTGTGCTGGACGACTTTGTCGGATGCGTGGTAGGCGCCGCCACCGATGATCCAGGACTCCTTTCCAGCCTTGTCTTCTTTGATGGAGATGGCATCCTCGCAAACATCTTCGAACCAAACGAACTCAAGAGTGCAGTGGCCTTGGCAATGCACACCTTCCGCCTAAACATTTCTTAGTAGGTATCTACTTCAGGACTTGACCTGACACTTACCTGGTTCTTGCCGATGATCACGTTGCGCAGCGTAGCGCCTTCTTTGAGCAGGAAGACAGCGTCGGCAGCACCGCCCTCAGACTGACCAGAGCAAGCACCGCTACCACGGTCGAATCGGTACCACTGGCCATCGTATGTTTGACCAGCAGCGACCTCAATGACCTTGCTATTGGTCTTGGTTCCAACGGCTTTAGGGACACCTCCAGCGTATCCATTGCATCCAAGGGCAACAGGGAGGAGGGCCGTGGCCGCAGCGAGGATGCCTGCAAACTTCATGGTAAAGGATGGTGTTCGGGTTGAGAAAAAAGTGATCGAAAGCGGAAGCTGGAATAGACGAAATGATAAAAGGAATGCTACTGGAGCCTTGGATGTCGGGATGCTTCTGGCTGAAGGATAGAACCTTAACCGGTGGGATGTTCGCCGTTACTTATAGGGAGTTGAACCCCTTCTCTCCGCTCTATCCATAGCACGCTCAGGCAGCTTTGCCACGCCTTCTGCACTGCTAACCTCGCACCCTCAACTCAAGTCGTCTTACCACATTAGGAGTTTCCTCCTCAATCTTTCCACGCTCATTCGCGGACTTCTGTATCGATCCTGCCGAACGTCTTTCCGCCCGAGTCGCGCCATTGCCAAGACTTGTTACGGAAGCTTGGTGTAGAAGGATGCGCTTTGGAAGCGCACATCGGATAGTACCACGTGGTTTTGGTATGGTGATTGCACAAGTGAAACGCCCAGCAAACTCCGCCGTGCGTTGGCACTTGCATTATTAGGGCGACAGTGACATACCATAGCGCAATGCTTAGCGCTGCAGCCCTCCTCTCATTTCCTCTTCCATCATTACTTCCGCCAACTAGCATTTCGCCGGTTCTGTTCTGTATGTCCGCTCTTGGTTTATTGAGGTACTATCGATAGCGGAAATACCACACGACTTGGTGTTTCTAGAGGGTTACGTTCCCCGCAGTATGACGGAGAATAGCGGAAAGTTGTGCGCTCTGAAGCTGTCCTGGTCACCGATATCAGCAAACCATCACTAGTAGCATGCC